TTTTGCGGTTATAGGTCGAGGAGTCCACAACCTTCAAACCGTTTTCTTTGTTTTGGCTTAGGATGATTCGGATTCACAGCCGTCCGTCAAAAGCGAAGACGTCGAATATTGTTTCCGCACTTTTAGAGAGACCGTAGATTTATTCCCCTGGAGATTCGCTTTCTCGGGTAAGACAAGTTTGTTGTTTGTATCATCATCATCATCATGTCATTCTCCATCGCGTGTTGTTTTTATGAGCGTCGTTTGTCCTAGGTATGCTACAGACTAGCCTCGTCACAGGGAGAACGAGAAGGATTCTAAGGAGTTGCGATACCATCCCCAAGAGGTAACCGTCAGCTCTTGATTTACTTTAGTGATATGCAAAACATTTTTATCTAATTGTCATCTTTCTCTATAGCTGCAGCTGTTTCGCCTCGGCGCCCGTGTTTTGGGAGCACGTAGACCTAACGCTTCCATATCAGGTAATCGAGCGCGAGCGTCGATGACAGACGCGACGCCATACACGAAAAGTCATATGTCTATTTCTCATTTGCCAGCTGGTCTCCTTGGCGAAACATACCCGCGAGTACCAAACCGTGGCGAATTACGTGCAACACGAGGGAATGCTGGGGAAATCTATTGTGTCGATCAGGAGGATACAGAATATGGACCTTTGGGAACTGTATTGTAGGTAAGAGATCATAGATCTGACTTTTCTTTTGTTTGCCTGCATCTTTTCCAAACAGACACATGACTATTCGCACGCTCTGTGTGTTAGAAAAACCCAGCAGCTGATGAGGATCCATCGCGTGACAAAAGTGCAAGAGCGACGACTTTTTCACGGGACCGAGAGCGGCAATATCGACGGCATCTGCAAGTACAACTTCGACATGCGTTTAGTCGGACGGCGGCACGGACACGCTTACGGCAAAGGTGAGCGTGTGATTATGCTACGCGAGTGATTTGATTGATGGTGGATGGATGGAGCGAGGACGGAGCGCCGCTTCGCTAACACTACTCTATGTTTGTGTGGTTACAGGGATCTACTTCGCAAAATTCGCAAGTCAGGCGGCTAAATACAGTAAACGTTCGCCGGGAGACTGCGGTCACGGGGAGCTCTTGATGGCTCGGGTGCTGATCGGACGACCGACGCTGGGGGCGAAGGAAAAGCTGAAACCGGACCACGGAGCCCTTGAAACGACTCACGACAGCTGCGTAGACAATATAGCAAATCCCCGGGTGTATGTGATTTTTGATTCGAATCAAATATACCCCGAGTATTTGATAGAATATAGAGTCTGATGATGCATATGTATCGTTTGCGAATAAAGAGAACCGAGAGGAGAATGCTGTGTAATGTATCATTTGAAAATAAAGAAAATAAAGAACACCAGATATGAGCTTCCGACTCTTTATTTTTCATAACGCAATGTACACACTCAAAACAACACGGTAACAACAGTGTTCATTTGTTTTGTTTTACTCGAAGCTAAGATCGTCAGAGTTCACACGACGGAGGCGACGCGTCGAAAGGCGTTCGCCTCCGCGATCTTAGAATGCGCTCGAGTCAACCTCAGCTCTAGGGTGTTTTCGTTTCGGTTGAGCTTTCTCAGTTGAGACACTAACAAAGAACGCTCGTGCAATAAGCTTTTGACCGAAATCTCTCCTACCCCGATCAAGGTCTCGAGAACCGCGAGGTCGCTTCGCAGATCGAAATACAGGTCGGTCATTCCGGAATCCCAGCTCCACAAGCGAGAGCTCGCGGCGTCCAGGCGTTCGCGGACTTCCTCGATGGAACCGAAAAGCATTCGCCTGAAAACCTGCGACTCTCGAAATCGACGGGCGTGCGCGTCAGGTTCGCTTCCAACGTCTTCAACGCGTGAGCGCAAGCTTCTCCCACGGACCTGGGCGCGAGAGATTTCGTCTTGTCGATCATGCGGACCGCGTACGCCTTCGCCTCGGACCAAGGCTCTCCGTGACTCACGCCGGGCCTCTCTCGCGTCCGTTCCACCAATTCCATCGCGGAGATGTCTCTCGTGACCTTAGCGCACATCTCCCTCCACACTTCCATGTAGCGCGCGTACAGGTCGGCGTAGCGTTCGAGGATCATCTTAAGCGCTTCTCCGTCCGAATAACACGTGTTTAAGGCTTCGCAGACAGAAGCGATAGCGGAGGAGGAAGACCCCCGCTCGTCTGTTTCTTCTCCGTCGCGAGGTCTACGAGAATTACCTACGGCCGAAAGACGGACCATTTCCTTGACCAAAGCGTTGCGTCCCAACGCGGCCTGGACCATGAAATAAAGACGCTCGTCGCTCGTGTCGGACCTGAGTTCGGGGTATCTCTCTAGAACCGTTTTGAAGCCGAGCATGAGTTCCGACACGGTCTTAGTGTAAGAGTTCAAAGTCCTTCTGTAATTTTCGGCCGCGGACTTACACTGAGCGTCGAAAGCCTCGCATCTGAGGCATCTGCCGCCGCCGGTCGCGTGTTCGCGGTCTCGCGGTCCGCTTCTCGCCGAAGAACGGGCGCGACGTTTTCGGCGGTGCACCATACAGGTAACGGGTTTCCACCTATCAGTTTTTTGTTTGTCTTCGGTCTTTTGGTCTAACTCACCGTCGTTGCCATCCGACATGCTTTCGCTACTGTCCCTGGGCTGAAAAGTCACGACGACGGCGCGCTTTCTGCGACGACTAATCGCTTCGTCATCGTCGTCTTCTTCTTCCTCTCCTGAGTCCATGTCGGTTTCCTCGACGGATTGAGTTTCTTTTGCGTCCGCACGTTGACCGGCATCCGAGTCCGAGTTCATTTCTACGTCTAAAAGCTTGTCGATACCTTCTGGCGTTGTCTGAGTCGCCGCAGGTACACCGACGGAGGCTTCATATTCATTGAAGGCGTTCTCGATTGCTGCGGTTAAAATGGTTCTCAAAGCCGCACAGGTCACGGAGTGTCGTTCGAAGGAAGACGATATATTCCATAATGATGATGATGATGATGATGATGATAACAGTGGATAAATATTCTGTGCATGCTTCTGTTTCTTCCTTTACATTTTGAGTTCAAATGACAGTTTGATTTACATAAAGGCCTGGTTTTCGATGTTTAATGTTTTTATCAGCTCATAATGATTACAATTAAACAAAATGGCTGCTGACCAAATGATAATTCAGGAGTGGAGAAATGTGCCCCTTTACATTGGTACTGTCATGTGGTGGAGACCATATGTAGCTGTGGAAATGGACCAAATACAGTCTGGCATAAGCACCATCCATCAGTCATTCCTCTGGTGTAGAGTAGCCCTGAAGGCAGCATGGAACTATTGCAATATCAGATGGCACAGTGGTGACTCACTGAGCAGTACCATGCTGGCACACTTTTGGAATGAACTCTGACTCTGAAATTGAGGTTTAGGTAGGAAAACGTTTATCTTCCTTCAGCCTGAAAGTTTGAGACAGTGCCTTTTTTTCTCAGGCTGCCTTAAAAGAAACCAGTTCCTGTTTCCTCCTCCCTCTGCATCTCTCCTGGGACAGTCGAGGGTCGCGGAGACGGTCGTTCGCTATAACGTGACGGAGAAAGACATCCGAGGCGCCGAAGTGACTCCGGGTCGCATATACGTCGCGGACGGGATCTCCCTGTACGAGACCGTGTCTTCGTGGAAAACCGACGTGTACCTGACGTTCGATCGAGGTTGCCGCGCGGAAACCGTGCGCAGCCTGTGTGCTTTGGCCATGGGCGATAGCAAGTTAGGTGTCGAGTACGCGTTGCGTTGCGCGCTGCCCGACGACGACGCCGAAGCGTCGGACCTAAGAGACTTGACTCCGCTCGAAACGGGCGTCGAAGCGCTATCGGGTCCTCCTCCGACGTCGGTCCGACAGAAACGACCGACCGAGAACGAGATTTCGATCGGCAATCGCCTCGCTCTAGGATTTCTCGTTCTGCGCGAAATGACCGAATTGCCTTCTGCGTTTTCTGTGCTAGCGGAGAACGAGACCGCGTTGGTCCTGAGGCACCTTTTACGAAACGCTGTAGTCGTCGTGCCCAAGGTCTCGCGTTTGGAGAAGTATAAGCCGCGAGGAACTAAGGACGAGGGACGCTCGCGCCGCCGAAGCCGCCGAGGAGAGCCAAGCGGGCACGTGACGGAATGGTTTCCCTGCGGACACTCTTTGTTTAGGGTCGAGAGAAACGTGCGAGGAGTACCTCGGCTATGGGTCTCGTGTCGCGTCGGAGAATCGCAACAACACGAGGGTGGCGGTCGTCGCGAAAAGGGAGACGATTTGGTTCGCGACGTGCCCACGTTGCACGTGCACAGGAGTTCGGAGTACCGCTCCGGAGCGGTGCCCGAAGGATTCCGGTCGAGAGGATACCTATTCGATCGATCTGTCTGTCTGCTCCCGGAGACGATGGATGTGATCGCGCCTCCCGAATTAAGCCCCCCGGTGTGCGTCGCCGCGTTGTACGCTTTCGAGATCTTCACGGTCTTTGCGATCTCGAGCGAGATCGCTCGACCCGCTCGTCCCGCAGGGCTCTCGTTTCTCGGACCGTTGGCACCGAAAGAAGCTAGAGCGCTCACGTTATCGTTTATGCGGATGGGAGAAAGGAGTTCTGCACGGATAATGTCCGAAAAGAGTGTAATTCGTTGCGAAACTCCCTCGAGCGAGACCCTCTTCGCGCTGAGAGCGCTGGTGTCCTCGTTTTCAGGGACGAGCGAGGATCTAATAGCCGAACTCGACGTGTCTTCGGAACGAGAAGACGAAATGTACCTGGAACTAGAGAACGCCGTGATTCGAGCGAGGGAGAGGTTAGAGCGGCGCAAACCGACCCTCCCGTTGGACGAAAACGAGGGCGACGACGGTTCCGCCGCGTCGTCGAACGACAGCCGTGCGGCCCGCGCGACGGGACAAGTGGGCCT